ACCAGACGACTGTCCAACCCATGAGTGCTTCAAAGCTTGCTACTGCAAGGAAGGATTCAAGAAGATTGGTGGAGTCTGTAAGCCGGAGTCGGAGTGTTTGTGTCCCAATGATCCTAATGAAGAGTACATTTATTCAAATACGTGTCTGGAGAAGTGCGATGCAACGCCGGAAATGTGCAGAGGAAGAGCCATTGTCGCGGGATGTTATTGCAAAGAGGGATTCAGGAGAAGTGATGCAGGACGATGCGTTCTTGACTCTGATTGCCCTTGTCCGGATGGAGAATTTGAGTACAAATTCGGCAAGGCGTGCGATGACGAGTGCATTCCACCAGACGACTGTCCAACCCATGAGTGCTTCAAAGCTTGCTACTGCAAGGAAGGATTCAAGAAGATTGGTGGAGTCTGTAAGCCGGAGTCGGAGTGTTTGTGTCCCAATGATCCTAATGAAGAGTACATTTATTCAAATACGTGTCTGGAGAAGTGCGATGCAACGCCGGAAATGTGCAGAGGAAGAGCCATTGTCGCGGGATGTTATTGAAATTCGATCGGACGTGCGTTCTTGACTCTGATTGCCCTTGTCCAATGGGAATTCGAATATAAGTCTGGCAAGGCGTGCGATGACGAGTGCATTCCACCAGACGACTGTCCAACCCATGAGTGCTTCAAAGCTTGCTACTGCAGGAAGGATTCAAGAAGATTGGTGGAGTCTGTAAGCCGGAGTCGGAGTGTTTGTGTCCCAATGATCCTAATGAGAGTACATTTATTCAATACGTGTCTGGAGAAGTGCGATGCAACGCCGGAAATGTGCAGAGGAAGAGCCATTGTCGCGGGATGTTATTGCAAAGAGGGATTCAGGAGAAGTGATGCAGGACGATGCGTTCTTGACTCTGATTGCCCTTGTCCGGATGGAGAATTTGAGTACAAATTCGGCAAGGCGTGCGATGACGAGTGCATTCCACCAGACGACTGTCCAACCCATGAGTGCTTCAAAGCTTGCTACTGCAAGGAAGGATTCAAGAAGATTGGTGGAGTCTGTAAGCCGGAGTCGGAGTGTTTGTGTCCCAATGATCCTAATGAAGAGTACATTTATTCAAATACGTGTCTGGAGAAGTGCGATGCAACGCCGGAAATGTGCAGAGGAAGAGCCATTGTCGCGGGATGTTATTGCAAAGAGGGATTCAGGAGAAGTGATGCAGGACGATGCGTTCTTGACTCTGATTGCCCTTGTCCAGATGGAGAATTCGAATATAAGTCTGGCAAGGCGTGCGATGACGAGTGCATTCCACCAGACGACTGTCCAACCCATGAGTGCTTCAAAGCTTGCTACTGCAAGGAAGGATTCAAGAAGATTGGTGGAGTCTGTAAGCCGGAGTCGGAGTGTTTGTGTCCCAATGATCCTAATGAAGAGTACATTTATTCAAATACGTGTCTGGAGAAGTGCGATGCAACGCCGGAAATGTGCAGAGGAAGAGCCATTGTCGCGGGATGTTATTGCAAAGAGGGATTCAGGAGAAGTGATGCAGGACAATGCGTTCTTGACTCTGATTGCCCTTGTCCAGATGGAGAATTTGAGTACAAATTCGGCAAGGCGTGCGATGATGAATGTTTTCCAGATGCGAATTGCCGTTTTCATGATAGTTTTAAGTCGTGTTTTTGCAAAGAGGGTTTTAAGAATATTGAAGGAATTTGTCAACCAGAAAATCGTTGTAGTTGCCCATCAGATCCGAATGAGGAGTTCATTCTTTCAAATAGTTGTTTAGAGAATTGTAGTGGGACGATGAATACGTGTCGAAATGAACATATGAAGTATGGATGTTATTGTAAGGAAGGATATGCTAGATTATTTAATAGTTCTTGTCTTCCTGATTCGTGGTGTCCCTGCAACACGAATGAAGTCTTTATGTCTAATCAAAGATGTTACGACAATTGCGCACTGTCTGGTCAATGTAATCCTGATCATTGCTACAAAGGATGCCATTGTATGACTGGACACGAGAGAATAAATGGCGCGTGCGTGCCTATTAATAATCAGCCAACATGTTCTGCTAATGAAGAATTTACATGTGGAAGAAAATGCCTCGAAGAATGTAATTTGAGTGATTACGATGAATGCATGGCCACACCATGTAGTGATGGATGTTATTGCAAACATGAATTCTTCAGGATATCAGGAGAGTGTGTTGATGTCAATACGGCTAGATCACGTTGCACTTGCCCAGTAGGCCAATCATTCGCATGCAAAAGTGATTGTCTAGAATCTTGTCACGAATTTCCAGGCAATTGTGATCCGAGTGAATGTCGATATGGATGTCATTGCAGTACTGATTTAGTCAAGCGTCAAGATGGTCAATGTATTACATTTAATAGATGTAATTGCAGAACAAACGAACAAGCTCGATCTGGAAGACTTTGTGAGGAAGACTGTAGCATAAATGCAAGGTTGTGCGCCTTATCTAATGCACCAACTGGCATAAAATGCTTCTGTTTACCAGGATATTGCAGAAATTCAAATAACATTTGTGAAATCGCATCAACATTCTGGTGGACTATAGGTCTTGCATAATTACACTGAAACACTTTTAGAGTAGTCAAATTAATTATATTAATTACATAATATATATGTCATGCATATTTTATAAAGGATACAGAGAAATGCATACTACAAAGCCTAAAAATAAATGATATACAGCACGTGTTCGCCGATATCTGTTTTATACACCATGATTTTGGTATTTTTGGCAAAAAATAAAGATTAATGATCAACAAATCGACTTGATTATTCACTTCCACTGATGTTTCACCCAAATATATAAGCAAATACTTGGTTTTTCGTTGCTTTTTGTGCATTTATATTATATAGTCAGCAATTAATGTGTTTTTTTCAAAGAGAATCTCAGAATGCGCACTATATAGGCAATCAATCTGCCGTAAAAATATGCATGTGTAAGGGAACGACCAAATCCAGTTCTTTCAGGAAAAAAAATCGCCAAAACGCAGATGAAGGTCGAAAGTCTTGTCATTCCAGGGATTTTCATGAGAATGGCGAAAAAGAATATGGTAATCATTTGCATTTTGTGCATCCAAAAAACTAACTGATTCACAGCAATATCTGTGAAGTTTTGATGGTTTAAAAATCGCGAAAATAAAAAGATGCAGACTAAATGCACCGCATAAAATCCCCGAATTTTTCGAGATCTTTGTTAGTCGGTATTTGAACGTCCATTGAATATCATGGAACTACGGTGGATTCAGTTATTGTGGATATTAAGTATTTTGGTGCCAACTGTGGTCATTTGCACTAAAGAACATGTGAATTTTGAATACGAAAGCCCTCATTTTGCCACTGACTTCAATCTAACAGGTTAATATGGTCATTTTTAGCCACTGTGCTAGAGGCAAGAAAGTTTACTTTCGTTTTCACCGCAGACGCTGATGGAAATATTACTGACACGGATGAATATCGCACTAAACCTATTAAGAGCAAGCCACAATACGTCGATAATAGTTATGCGAGTGTTCCCAAGTGTCCAAAAAACGAAGAATACTTGCTGTGCGGTCCAAACTGTGAGGATGACTGCTGGAAAAGGTGCCCAGCACAGGACACTGGATGCAGAAAAGGATGTTTCTGCAGAAATGGCTACGTGCGACATACATCAGGGAGATGTATCTCCATCGCTTCGTGTGCTAAAAGTGAGCTGCTTCTGATGTGAAAATCAGATTTATCTAATCTCTCTAAATTATTACAGGAATTAATTGTCCTCGGTATGAAGAGTGGAAAGAGTGCGGCACTGCGCCGTATTGTGAAGCAACATGTGGATATAATGATGGAAAATGTGACAAAAGAACGGATTGTCCGGGTTGCTTCTGCCGAAAAGGATATCTTCGCAATCCATTGACAGATCTCTGCGTACGCTCTCATCAATGCCCAATAGGGGTGCCTCAGTGTTCATATGGGGAAGAATATCTATCGTGCGGTTATGCTAGTAATGAACAGTGTCACGTTAATGCTGGTGCTTTGCAGAAGGAAAAGTGTACACCCGGTTGCTATTGTGTAAGTGGAAAAGCTCGAATCAATGGTCATTGTGTTCCAAATCATCAGTGTCCTAGAGTGTGTCCAGCCAACGAAGAATACAGTGTTTGTGGCAACTCGTGTCGCGAATCTTGTGGGACAAGTAAAGACGATTGTGGAAAAACTTGCGAAACTGGATGCTTTTGCATTGCTGGATACAATAGAGTTGGTGGTGTTTGCGTACCAAAGTCAAACTGTCCTCCACCCAAATGTCCTGGTCCGCATGAAGTTTTCACAATCTGTGGAACACATTGTCTCGAAGACTGTTCAAAGAGTGAAAAGGATTGTTCACACACCAGTTGTAAATCCGGCTGTTTCTGTGAGAAAAACTATAAAAGAATAGACGGCATTTGTGTTTCGAAAGACAAATGTGAACCAGAGGAGCAAGAGTGCGAAGGAAAAAATCAGGCTTACAACTCATGTGGAAAATCTTGCCTCGATGAATGTGGAAAAACTAGAAAGGATTGTCTCTATGAAAAGTGCTATTCAGGCTGCTTCTGTTTGACAGGATACAAAAGGATAAACGGAGTTTGTGTTCCCGAAGAAAAATGTGAACCTGAGGAGCAAGAGTGCGAAGGAAAAAATCAGGTCTACAATTCATGTGGAAAATCTTGCCTCGATGAATGTGGAAAAACTAGAAAGGATTGTCTCTATGAAAAGTGCTATTCAGGTTGTTTCTGCTTGACAGGATACAAAAGGATAAACGGAGTTTGTGTTCCCGAAGAAAAATGTGAACCAGAGGAGCAAGAGTGCGAAGGAAAAAATCAGGTTTACAATTCATGTGGAAAATCTTGCCTCGATGAATGTGGAAAAACTAGAAAGGATTGTCTCTATGAAAAGTGCTATTCAGGCTGCTTCTGCTTGACAGGACACAAAAGGATAAACGGAGTTTGTGTTCCCGAAGAAAAATGTGAACCTGAGGAGCAAGAGTGCCAGGGAAAAAATCAATTCTATAGTTCGTGTGGAAAATCTTGTCTTGATGAGTGTGGTAAAACTAAACAAGACTGCCTTCATGAAAAATGCTATTCCGGATGTTTCTGCTCGGAAGGATTCAAAAAAATTGATGGTGTGTGTGTTCCAGAAAGCAAATGCAATCAGCCAGAGTGTTCCGGTCCCAATGAAGCCTACTTAAAGTGTGGAAACCATTGCGAAGAAGAATGCAAAACGATAAAAGGGTTTTGCAAGCTAGAAACATGCTCACCTGGATGCTACTGTAAACCCGGATACAAGCGTGTCAATGGAATTTGTGTTCTGGAATCTTTATGCAATTGTCCACCAAATGAAATTTTCGAACTGAGCAGTGAATGTAGTGAAAAGTGCTTCCATACAGACCATAAGTGTTTAGGGGCCCAAAAATATCATCGATGCACTTGTAAAGATGGCTTCAGACGTATAAATGGAGTGTGTTTACCAGATGATAAATGTCAGTGTCCGACGAATGAAGAATACGTTTTCGGTAATCATTGCCAGGAGAATTGTGAAAGTGGACCTCAAGACTGCAAAAATGAGAAGTATTTAAAGGCATGTTTCTGCAAGTATGGCTACCGCAGAATTAACGGCATTTGCGTAGAAGATACTCAATGTCCTTGTGGGAAAAATGAGGAATACATGTTCGGAAATGACTGCTACGACACGTGTTTGACGGATCCAGAAACCTGTCGATTGGATGACACTTACAAGAGATGTTCATGTCTCGATGGGTTCAAGAGAATACATGGCATTTGCTTACCAGACACTAAATGTAAATGTCCTGTAAACGAGGAAGTAGCCTACACGAATGATTGCTATGAACAGTGTGAACACGATCCGGAAGTATGCGCCGAATTGGAAACAATACGAAGATGTGCATGCATAGAAGGTTACGTCAGAATAAGCGGAGTTTGTGTTCCGGAGAGTAATTGTCCATGTGCAGAAAATGAAGAGTATGCTGTTGGTAGTTTATGTGAAGAAGACTGTAGTTCCACTCCGGATAGTTGTAAGGATGCACCAGCTTATAAAAGATGTTCTTGCTTATTTGGATATAAGCGAATTGATGGAAAGTGTGTTGAATATCCTAATTGTCCATGTGGGGAAAATGAGCATTATGATTACGGAAACGATTGTCTAGAAAAATGTAAAGATACGAGACTCTGTGAAGACACACCTGAATATCTAAAATGTACATGCATTACAGCCCATAAAAGAATCAAAGGTGTGTGCGTTCCGCAATCTAATTGCAAATGCGGGGAAAATGAGTATTATGGACACGGGAATGATTGTTTTGATTCTTGTGGGTCTAATCCAATAGTATGTGCGGATATGGACAGATATCTTTACTGTGTATGTAGTCCAGGATTTAGAAGGGTTGATGGAGTATGCGTACCTTATACTGAATGTCCGTGTGGTAAAAATGAATTTTATGCTGTAGGAAATTCGTGCTTTGAACAGTGCGGATCTGATCCAAGAGAATGCGCTCAAATGTATTCTTACAGTCAATGCCGTTGTCAACCCGGATTTGTACGAATTCTTGGAGTTTGTGTCCCTGATAAAGTGTGTCCATGTGGGAAAAATGAAGAATATTTGTTTTCCAGTGAGTGTGTCGAAAATTGTGGTGAAAATTGGGACACCTGCAGTAATAAGTTTGAATGGAAGCGATGTACATGTAAGAAGCAGTTTAAGAGAATTGATGGAAATTGTGTGACTGATAAAATTTGTGAATGTCCAAAGAATGAACACATGGATACATTAAATGACTGTTTTGAACAATGTGGAAGTAATACATACAAATGCCAGCAAAAGCCATTTGTTCGGAAATGTTATTGCAATTATGGTTATGTTAGAATTAATGGAGTCTGTGTTAGAAATTCCGTTTGTCCATGTCCAGAAAATGAAATTCGCGACGAATCACCACATATTGATCAGAAAGAAATTGGTCTTGTAAATCACTACAGACATTGCAGGTGTAAAAGAGGATACAAAAGAATAAATGGTGTTTGCTTCCCAGAACCGACCTGTCCAGATAACAACTGTGAGTGTCCGGAAAACGAACACATGGATTCAAAACCCGAATGCTTTGAAAACTGTAATCTAAATCCTATTGAATGTAGTCAGCAGCCAGATGTTCAAAAATGTTTTTGTAACTTTGGATATGTTAGAATTGAGGGTGTCTGCGTTCCGGACACAACTTGTGAATGTGATGAAAACTCAGAATATACTCATGGTAATGAGTGTTTCGATACATGTGGAACTAATCCAGAGAATTGTAGCAAATTACCGTGTCATAAAAGCTGTTATTGTGATGACGGTTTCGTGAGGATAGACGGGAACTGCGTTGCAGAAACCGAGTGTGCTTGTGGAGAAAACGAAGAGTACAAACCTTCAAGCGAATGCATTGAAGAATGCGGACAGGACGAAGACACATGCAAGGATGCACCGGTTTGGAAGAGATGTTCATGCATAGCGCAATTCAAGAGGGTCGACGGCGTTTGCGTTCCGGACACAACTTGTGAGTGTCCGGAAAACGAACACATGGATTCCCTGAACTCATGCTTCGAAACCTGCGGAACAAATCTTCATGATTGTACTCAAGAGCCAGTTGTTCGGAAATGTTACTGCGACTTGGGATTTGTTAGGGTAGATGGAGTTTGTGTTGCAGATTCGGCTTGCGAATGTCCCGAAAACTCAGCATACGTTCACGGTAACGAATGCTACGAAACTTGCAGCTCTAATCCCATAGAATGCGCCAAATTGCCATGCCAGAAGAGTTGTCATTGCAATGACGGTTTTGTGAGGATTGAAGGAAATTGTGTTGCAGAAACCGAGTGTACTTGTGGAGATAACGAAGAGTACAGACCGTCAAGCGAATGCATCGAAGAATGCGGGCAGGACGAAGACACATGCAAGGATGCACCGGTTTGGAAGAGATGTTCATGCATAGCGCAATTCAAGAGGGTCGACGGCGTTTGCGTTCCGGACACAACTTGTGAGTGTCCGGAAAACGAACACATGGATTCCCTGAACTCATGCTACGAAACCTGCGGAACAAATCTTCATGACTGCACTCAAGAGCCAGTTCGGAAATGCTACTGCGACTTGGGATTTGTTAGGGTAGATGGAGTTTGTGTTGCAGATTCGGCTTGCGAATGTCCCGAAAACTCAGCATACGTTCACGGTAACGAATGCTACGAAACTTGCGGCTCTAATCCTATAGAATGCGCCAAATTGCCATGCCAAAAGAGTTGTCATTGCAATGACGGTTTCGTGAGGATAGACGGGAACTGTGTTGCAGAAACCGAGTGTACTTGTGGAGATAACGAAGAGTACAGACCGTCAAGCGAATGCATCGAAGAATGCGGACAGGACGAAGACACATGCAAAGATGCACCGGTTTGGAAGAGATGTTCATGCATAGCGCAATTCAAGAGGGTCGACGGCGTTTGCGTTCCGGACACAACTTGTGAGTGTCCGGAAAACGAACACATGGATTCCCTGAACTCATGCTACGAAATCTGCGGAACAAATCTTCATGATTGTACTCAAGAGCCAGTTGTTCGGAAATGTTACTGCGACTTGGGATTTGTTAGGGTAGATGGAGTTTGTGTTGCAGATTCGGCTTGCGAATGTCCCGAAAACTCAGCATACGTTCACGGTAACGAATGCTACGAAACTTGTAGCTCCAATCCTATAGAATGCGCCAAAATGCCATGCCAGAAGAGTTGTCATTGCAATGACGGTTTTGTGAGGATAGACGGGAACTGTGTTGCAGAAACCGAGTGTACTTGTGGAGATAACGAAGAGTACAGACCGTCAAGCGAATGCATCGAAGAATGCGGACAGGACGAAGACACATGCAAAGATGCACCGGTTTGGAAGAGATGTTCATGCATAGCGCAATTCAAGAGGGTCGACGGCGTTTGCGTTCCGGACACAACTTGTGAGTGTCCGGAAAACGAACACATGGATTCCCTGAACTCATGCTACGAAACCTGCGGAACAAATCTTCATGATTGTACTCAAGAGCCAGTTGTTCGGAAATGTTACTGCGATTTGGGATTTGTTAGGGTAGATGGAGTTTGTGTTGCAGATTCGGCTTGCGAATGTCCCGAAAACTCAGCATACGTTCACGGTAACGAATGCTACGAAACTTGCGGCTCTAATCCTATAGAATGCGCCAAATTGCCATGCCAAAAGAGTTGTCATTGCAATGACGGTTTCGTGAGGATAGACGGGAACTGTGTTGCAGAAACCGAGTGTACTTGTGGAGATAACGAAGAGTACAGACCGTCAAGCGAATGCATCGAAGAATGCGGACAGGACGAAGACACATGCAAGGATGCACCGGTTTGGAAGAGATGTTCATGCATAGCGCAATTCAAGAGAGTTGACGGCGTGTGCGTTCCGGACACAACTTGTGAGTGTCCGGAAAACGAACACATGGATTCTCTGAACTCATGCTACGAAACCTGCGGAACAAATCTTCATGACTGTACTCAAGAACCAGTTATTCGGAAATGTTACTGCGACTTGGGATTTGTTAGGGTAGATGGAGTTTGTGTTGCAGATTCAGCTTGCGAATGTCCCGAAAACTCAGCATACGTTCACGGTAACGAATGCTACGAAACTTGCGGCTCTAATCCTATAGAATGCGCCAAAATGCCATGCCAGAAGAGTTGTCATTGCAATGACGGTTTTGTGAGGATAGACGGGAACTGTGTTGCAGAAACCGAGTGTACTTGTGGAGATAACGAAGAGTACAGACCGTCAAGCGAATGCATCGAAGAATGCGGACAGGACGAAGACACATGCAAGGATGCACCGGTTTGGAAGAGATGTTCATGCATAGCGCAATTCAAGAGGGTCGACGGCGTTTGCGTTCCGGACACAACTTGTGAGTGTCCGGAAAACGAACACATGGATTCCCTGAACTCATGCTACGAAACCTGCGGAACAAATCTTCATGACTGCACTCAAGAGCCAGTTGTTCGGAAATGTTACTGCGACTTGGGATTTGTTAGGGTAGATGGAGTTTGTGTTGCAGATTCAGCTTGCGAATGTCCCGAAAACTCAGAGTATGTTCACGGTAACGAATGCTACGAAACTTGCGGTTCTGATCCTATAGAATGTGGCAAGTTGCCATGCCAGAAGAGTTGTCATTGCAGTGAAGGTTTTGTGAGGATAGACGGGAACTGTGTCGCAGATTCCGAGTGTGAATGTCCAGATACTGAAGAGTACGTCTACGGAAATGATTGTATTGAAAATTGCTTTTTGTCCCTCTCGGATTGCCGCCAATTTGAATCACACAAAAGATGCACATGCCTCGATGGTTTCAAAAGAATAAGTGGGGTGTGTGTTCCGGATACGGAATGCGAATGCGGCACCAATGAGGTCTTTAGATATGGTTCGGCTTGTGCGGATATATGTGGAAATACTATTGACAGCTGTCTTGGCTCCGAATGCTACAAAGGATGTTTCTGCGCAGAAGGTTTCAAGAGAATCGATGGGGCTTGCATGCCTGCAGATGAATGTGCTTGCGGGGACAACGAGGAGGAAAAGTGTGACTGGGATTGCAGGTATGACTGTAACAATCGCGCTAGAACGTGCTCCTCTTTGCCTTGTGAAACTAAATGCTTCTGCAGGGAAGGATTTCGTAGAATTAATGGTGTCTGCAGGCGCCAGAGTGAATGTCTTTGTAACCAGAATGAAATCGGAAGGTGTGGAAGAGAATGTGAAGAAAATTGCGGACTTATCGGCCAGGAATGTGTAGTCGAAGAATGTCTCTTTGCATGCTTCTGTCTTGATACCGGTTTCAGAAGAATCGGTGGAGTTTGTGTCGCTGTTGGTCTATGTCTCGATATTAATATTGAGCTCAAATTGATCGATGATGTGGCGAATGCTACAAATCGCAGCATTACAATTAAGAATTAATAAAAGCAGAAATCATGTCTACTCATCTTATCTCATAATTGAAATAAAAAACACAAGGTTGTGGGTCGCTATTAAGATATAAGGAATAAGATCAGTATGTCTTGAGTTGAAATTATTTCTTCGGTTGTAACGCAATTTCTCAACTCCCTTAAATAAACTATGATATGCAATTTGATCAAATAAACACTTATAACATGTCATATCAACATGCTTATCTTGAAAATAAATAAAAACAAACTGTAGTAAAAAATTACTTTATGTTTTTCCGCAGTTTTCGTCACGTTTGTTGTAAATTGACAATAATTTTCACCTCAACTGCATACATTTGAAGGCCAAAATCTTCATTTCTCTCGAAAGTCTCAAGAAGCACAAGCAAAATTACTCGAAATACTTTGACTGTCAAGGTTAAATGTTTGTGAATTTTTAATATACAACGTCAAATCTCGATTTCGTTACACAGCATGACGATGACATTGAAATCGTCTTAGATTCACAAACAAACTACACTTTCACGCCGATAATTATCCATAAAAACCGTGTTGAAGTGAATCTTATTGAGCTATTTCATTGTTAAATTGCAATTTTTCGCTTAGTGACCAACTTCGTGACTTCGTGAAATGTGCATTGCTTTCGCCGTCGTTTGCAGACAGTGCTAAGTTGAAAGGTAAGTATATTTCCACACCAGTAAGATTTAAGATCAAGTGATGATGAAGGAGAATTGAAGAAGACTTGATGAAAAAACTGAATCTCTTCTCAAAATAAATATCTTTGGGATGCTTGAACCAAACAAGAAAGTTAATTAATGCAAATCAGCATGCAAATAGTGGAAGATATCAGAGGAAATCGAGAGGAACGCCAAAAAAGCAGTCACAACGACTGACCAAATGAATTTGAGAACATCTCGCTGTGCAAGAGTATATAATACTGAAAAAAAGCATATAACGACCGAGACATTCTTAATGTCATTTTCAAATTTAATCGGTCAGTGGCCAAACCAGGTTATTCCACTCAAAGCTTTAGCGTTTCTACATAGTGGAAGTGAATTTTTTGTATATATATAGCAGTTTCGCTGCTTCCCATGAAACGTCAACAACGCAGAAGAGAGTTCTTTCAATGGAGAGTTATTTTATTTATTTACCTGCATAGGAACAGTGAGAAAAAGGAATTGAGAATTTTTGTGACAGTGAAGCGCGATCATAGCAAAGCACACCTCGAAGCTCGCTCTCTGCCAAGCTCTATATATGTTTTTACTCTCTATATATTCTTAATATGACGCCGAAAGAATCTTTTTGTATTTGTAGTGGCGCGAATAAAAAGCTCATTCTAGTGAATTTTTGCCTCAGTCTATCGCCATCCACTCGAGTGGCCGAAGAGCCAATAAAATGAATTGGTGTTGCGTGAAAATTTTCCTGGTGTCTTGTGCTGTTGCTCTATGTGCTGCTCAGGAAGAATCAAGTGAACATGATCAGCTAGAATATCCATATGAGAGGCAATATAAGGAATACTACCATGGAACATATCATGAATATGACGAATCAAGTGAAGATGACGATACGAGGAAGCATCACTATCACAGTAAATATCCGTAAAAGTATTCATGTGCATTTTATGGTTCTATTTTTACCATTCCATTAGACAAGAATCCCAATAAAGGATCCCACCATTATGTGTTGACGACAACTCCAAAGCCCAAACCCAAACCTAAACCAACGACTGAAGGTCCTGTACCACTGCCACAGGGCAAGCCCAAGTCCTGTCCGCGCTACGAGGAGTATCACGACTGCGGATCACCTTGCCAGGTCGAGTGTGCGAATCTGGGTAAAGTGTGCAACATCCAGAATGTGCGATGCAGCGACGGATGCTACTGCATTCCAGGATACGCGAGGACAAGTCCAAATGGACCCTGCGTGCCACAGTTCAAGTGCCCAAGTGAGTAAAAATTCAGCGAGAAAGGTCAAAGACACTATTTTGTCGTCTATTCATCGGACACTAAACTTTGCATCATTAATCAAAAGCTCATCGATATATATCATGTATAATAAACAGGAATTCGCGGCAAATCTATGCATCATATTTCTTTCAAGCTTCGCTTCAGAGAGAATCACATTATCGTCAATCTCTAAATACGAGGCTGAACTCTAATTTGAAATCAAGAATTTTAGACAAGGGCGTAGGCATGAAGATGGGAAAATTAACCTTTCATTTCCATTTTCAAACGATGAATCTTCTTTAATGTCACACAATAATAGCAATCAGAATTATTGATAAATTAATTTTTTTTATGAGAGGAAATTCACACTGATTTGTTCTGGTTATGATGAAAGACTTATAAGATATTCCGTTGAGTGCGCAAGTATTCTAATGTTAGAATTCTTCAACTAGAATATCTCCATCGCTGACAATTACCTGTTTTTGACTCAGAAATGAGACATATTGCTTTTACTAGATGTCCGGAAAATGCAATCAAATAACCTCTATGTAGTGTGGAAAGTGATGGAAACAACCTATTTAGCAAAACTCCTTTTCTTCTCCGTACAACGTTTCGGGATATGAGATGTGGGACACCAGATATGAGGGAGGGAAACACTTTCTGCAGTACGATCACTCTGGTCCGGTTTGGCCGACCGCTTTCTTAGCCTCTGAGAGTAGTTCCTGGAGTCCCAACGCCAACCACTAATGCTCCTTCTTCTATCACAAGTTCTTCCATCACTTTTCACTGATATTCAAATTTACAAAGACTTTCTTGACACAGAACATTTACAATTTCTGTAATGAAATTTCTTATTCATCCTTATGAAGAACACTCTGGATGTCTGTTTAGTTTCTTAGCTACGCCTCTGATTTTATCCATTTTTAGCCATACATAGTATAAAAGACTTTTTTCTTCGCATTCTCAGCGAATAGAACGAACAAATCTTTTGGGCAATGACCATAAATATATGCAAATCCAATGTCGTATTTCACTTTTTTTTTTCTCATTCCATACAAAAACAACCGAAAAGAGTGAAAAATGCGCTAACGAAATCTCAACATAGGCATTAACATGGAAATCCACTAAAATCAAGTGCAAGAACGAAGCTAATTTCCATAATTTTATCTCCTCCTCGGCGTAGATCCCTATTGTGCGTCGAATGAGGTGTGGCTGAATTGCTACCAAGCTCCGGCGTGCGATCGTGACTGCTCAAGCCTGAGCAAGCCCTGCCTCACGGTCGGCAGCAGCTGCAACGCCGGATGCTTCTGCAGACTCGGACATGCGCGCAATTCGCAGACCGGAGAGTGCGTGCCAATCAAGCAATGTCCATCAGAAGCACCAGTGAAAGTCCCAATGAAACCCACACCGACAGCCCCAACGAAGGCCCCACCGAAAGTTCCACTGGCAACTTGTGGCAAGAATGAGCAGTTCAAGCCGTGTGGCTATCGCTGCACGGAGAATTGCGACGCTGACTACTGCCTGTACGACAAGAGCCCATGCGCAAAGGGGTGCTTCTGCAAGCCAGGCTATGCGAGGGTGGACAACAAGTGCGTACCAAGAGACACTTGTCCGGTGACGTGTCCGAAGAATGAGAGGTACCTCGATTGCGGCAACACATGCATGGAATCGTGCTACAAGAACTCAGCCAAGTGCCAAGCGTGCGAGAGATCAGGATGCTTCTGTGTCGAAGGATATTCGCGAATTAATGGTGTTTGTGTGCCTGATAGCAAATGTCCACTAATATGTCCACTGGGTGAAGTTTACCTCGAGTGCGGAAGCGCCTGCCAGGACGATTGCGATCAGTCACAAGGCTGCACAGAGCAATGCGTGACAGGATGCTTCTGCAAGCCAGGCTATGCGAGAGTTAAGGGCACTTGTGTGCCGAGGAAAGTCTGCAAGAAATGTCCCAAATTCGAGGAATACTTGGATTGTGGCAACGCTTGCCTGGAATCCTGCTACAAGGATGTGGCCAGGTGTGTGCCTTGCGACAGAGAAGGATGCTTCTGTATCGAAGGATACGCACGAATCAACGGCGTTTGCCGACCAGAGGGTCAATGCCCGAACAAACAGTGCCCACCGAATGAAGCTTACAATTCCTGCGGAAGCGCTTGTCAGGACAATTGCGATCTCAGCCAACCTTGCACTGATGAGTGTGTCGCAGGATGCTTCTGTGAGCCCGAATTCGCTCGTGTGGACGGAACGTGTGTCCCTCGAGGGGAATGTCCTGTCGAGTGTCCGGAGAATGAACACTTCGACGCGTGTGGCAACAATTGCATCGACAGTTGCGATAGGGATCTCCTTGACTGCTCTGATAACTGCTACCCAGGATGCTACTGTGACGAAGGCTTCGCAAGGATCGCTGGGAAGTGCGTGCCCAGGAAGAAATGCGACAAGTGTCCTCTAAATGAGGAGTTCCTCAAGTGTGGCAACGGATGTCAGGATTTGTGTGATCCGTCAGCTGTTACATGCACGAGTGAGTGCGTCAAAGGATGCTTCTGTCAGGAGAAATTCAGTCGCATCAATGGCTTGTGTGTTCCACGAAGCAATTGCTTCGATTGCGCCTCAGGCGAGCAGTACTACGAATGCAGCAATTCCTGTCTCGAGCTATGTAATGCTAATGCTATTCTCTGTCCAGCTGAGTGCAGCGAAGGATGCTACTGTGCTCCAGGATTCTCACGCATCAAAGGACAGTGTCTGCCGTCTGAGCTTTGTCAGAAGTGCGGAAAGAATGAGCAGTTCTTCGAATGCGGCAGTCGATGTGCGGAGAAATGCGGAATAAACGCCTGTCCAGTTGATGGTGATTGCGAGCCGGGTTGCTATTGCAAGGCAGGTTACAGACGCTTAGGAGATAAGTGTGTTCCTGAGAGTAAATGTCCACCTCCTGAGTGTCCCAATGAAAATGAAGTGTACTCCGAGTGCGGGAACAACTGCACGGATCTGTGTGAAGATCCCAGCAGAATTTGCACTCTCGAGTGCTATCCGGGATGCTTCTGTGCCGAAGGATACAGTCGAGCGGAGGACGGAAGCCCTTGCATACCAGATGATCAGTGCCCACCAGTCTGCACAGGAAAGAACGAACAGTACTACGAATGCGGCAACGAATGCACCGACAGCTGTCCCAGTCCCGATCTCGCTTGCACTCTAGAGTGCACCAGCGGATGCTTCTGCAAGCCGGACTTCGCTCGGCTCAAAGCAGGTAAGATATACTAAACACTTGTTGGGATTCAAACTGAAGTGTTGGTTTTTCAGGCGGTCCTTGTCTGCCCGCGTGGAAGTGTCCAGATCCCTGCCCAAATCCCAACGAGGAGTGGAACACGTGCGGCAACAACTGCACAGAACTCTGCCCGCGACCGGGCAGAGCCTGTGAAAAGAACTGCTGGCCGGGATGCTTCTGCGAGAAGGGATTCTACCGCGATCGCTACGGCGGAGAGTGCATCCCCGAAGAGGACTGTCCGCCGCCTCCAGTTTGCAAACGCAACGAAGAAGTCAGCGACTGTGGAAATTCGTGCGATGATTACTGTCCGGGAGCAACTTTTGAGTGTCCGATCGATTGCCAAATCGGATGCTACTGCGCTGAGGGCTTCAAGAGACTCACTCCCGGCGGTCCTTGTCTGCCCGAGAAGAAGTGTCCTCCGCCCACGTGCACAGGCGCCAACGAAGAGTACACAAAGTGCGGAAGTTCCTGTCGCGAACAGTGTCCGTCCGATGATGCACTGTGTCCCGACGACTGTACAGCCGGTTGCTTCTGCAAGGAGGGATTCTCCAGGATCCTGGGAGTGTGTGTGCCAACGAAGAAATGTGCAGTCTCTTGCTCACTGCCAAACGAGGCCTTCACGAAGTGCGGAAGTTACTGCCGTGAACAATGTCCGCAAGTCGATTGGATATGTCCCGATGACTGCACAGCCGGATGCTTCTGCGCGGAAGGATTTTCGAGAGTGGACGGAGCGTGTGTGCCCAACGATCAGTGTCCTCCGATCTGCAATGATCCCAACGAAGAGTACACAACCTGTGGAAACACCTGCAACGAGCAATGCCCAATTGAAGGCGTCGCGTGCACCGAGGAGTGCAAGACAGGATGCTTCTGCAAGGCAGGATACTCGCGCAACAACAGCGTGTGCATAGAGACGAGTCAGTGTCCTGGACAGTGCGCCGATCCCAATGAAATTTACACAACGTGCGGCAATTCCTGCACGGAAAAGTGCTACGCTCTCATTTGCCCAGCAAACTGCGAAACAGGATGCTACTGTCGTCCAGGATATTCGCGCGTGCAAGGGATTTGCGTGCCAAAGAAGGAGTGCCCGAAGTGTGGCAAGAACGAGGAGTACACGTACTGCGGCAGCGGATGCACGGATCCTTGCGAGAGCAGAGGAATCGACTGCAAGGACGCTTGCAGAGAGGGATGCTTCTGCAAGGACAACTTCAGCAGAGTCACACCCGAATCCAAGTGCGTGCCCGACAGCAAGTGTCCGCACACGTGCTCGGCGGCCAATGAGCGATACAGCGACTGCGGCAATCGCTGCAAGGAGCAGTGCAACGGTGAGTCCTGTCCGGAAGTCTGCGAATCCGGCTGCTTCTGCAAGGCAGGCTTCTCGCGGCTGAACGGCAAGTGCGTGCCGAACAAGAAGTGCCCGCCGAAGTGCAAAGATCCCAACGAGGAGTTCACAACGTGCGGAAACACGTGTGCCGAAGAGTGTGGTGGCGAGGACAATCCCTGTCCGCTCGTGTGCCAAGTCGGCTGCTTCTGCAAGGCTGGATACTCGCGCAACATCACGGAGTGCATCCCCACCGATCAGTGTCCCAAAGAGTGCGCAGATCCCAATGAGATCTTCACAACGTGCGGCAACACGTGTCTCGAGCAGTGCGGCGCGGATGTCTGTCCGGAGATCTGCGAAACGGGCTGCTACTGCCGCCCAGGATACTCCCGCGTGCAGGGCGTTTGCGTGCCCACCAGCACGTGTCCCACGTGCGCAGAGAACGAAGTGTACACCTACTGCGGCAGCGCCTGCACCGATCCCTGCCAGACCAGAGGCCAGATCTGCTACGACGCGTGCAAGGAAGGCTGCTTCTGCCAGGACGGCTACAGCAGAGTTGAGCCAGGCTCGCCTTGCGTGCCAGACAGCGAGTGTTCAAGTACACGATAATACAATTTCCTTTGCATGCTTGCTAACACGCTTTTCCTGCATGTTTACTCGCCTCGATTTAATAAATTTCCCCACAGCCAATTGACGAGAAATCGATAAAGTCCCTCTTAAACTGTCTCCAAAAATATTGACGATGGACGCAATTTAATTTGGTCATTCTCAACTCACACTTTTGCGGAGAGGAAAATTGTCTCTAAACTCTCGCATAATGGGAAAGTTGAATGCCATTAACATCAATAAGTTATGCATTAGTTAAATAAACTTTCGCTTATTAGATTTATGGGGAAAAGAAGTTCCAAAAGGACAGAAAATAGCCTTAAAAATAGTTATATTTTCGCATAATCAACAATTTCTCACTCTTCCTGTCTCGATTTTGCATGAAAGATTTGTTTCATTGGATTGCATGAAGACGTAGTAAGAATTCGACATGGATAGAGGCTCAAAATCGGCTGGAATTCCTGGCCAAGAACGCCAGTAACGCTTCCGCGTGTCTTCCAGGCGAGACTTGCGGCCGGAATGAGGTTTACACGGATTGCGGCAGGGATTGCCAGACGACGTGCGACAACATGGGCGTGAAGTGTCCCATTACGCACATCATCTGCCCCGCGGGCTGCTACTGCCAGCCCGGCTACGCCAGGATCTACGAGGACGGCTGCTGCGTGGAGCAGGACATCTGCCCAAGTGAGTGAAAGCGCGCCCGGCGCACTGAATGCATGCGAAATGTACTCACCATTCTTGCAGGCTCTCCGTGTGGTGACAATGAGCAGTGGCTGGAGTGTGGCGATCCGCCGCAGCCGATTCCCTGTCCGCAAAACTGCCTGGACGTCGGCAAGGAGTGCACTGAAGAGCTTCCGACGTGCGACGCTCCCGTGCCCGGCGGCTGCTACTGCAAGCCGGGCTTCGCGAGGGCGCCGGACAGCGAGCGGTGTGTCCCCATCGAGAGCTGCAGCGCCAAGAACTGAGAGACGCCCTCAGGAGTCGCTATCTTCCGGACATAACCTGAAAGAGGGGAGGAAAACTTTATTAGACTCTTACCACACTAATTAACATTTTCAATAAAATCCTCCACGGAGGGATGATAAATTAGGACATGATTACGGGATTTTGATGGGAAGAACAAGGTTTCACGAGGAAAATCAGGGCACAGGAGAGGAAAACCGAGCGTGAAAAATCTACTGGTCTTTTGGCGGCACGCTCTTTTACTTCTGCTACCAACGGCACGCGGCGCTGCACGCAATTTCGCTCCTCTCGTTCTCTCTTAAGTTAAGAGAAGCCCTTCAACAGCAAACGATAACCCAATCAATTGTTCATTCAAAATACGACAGTTAGCAGAAAATCACATAGAGAAGAACGAATGATCATTATTATTAATCTTAATAATTGCTGTACAATGCACTTCTTATGTTATATACTACAACATTAAACAGTAAGACGAGTTTTGGGGGTGTTTCTATGCGGAAACAGACTGAGCTTGAGCTCCTGCACTTGCAGCAGAGCCGCCAAAACCGCCGTGACCGAAATCCAATGATTGAGCGTTGGCAGAAGCACTTGAACCGCTGCCGCCGAATCCACCAAAACCTCCCTGAAACAAGGATGAAGAGATTCAATGAGAAAGTGTTTAAGATTGTGAACAACCAGAGCGATTTCTTACAGAATTGAAGGACTGGCTTTGAGCTCCGGCACTCGAGGAAGATCCACTGAAGCCATTGTGACCCAAACCGCCCTGAAAAGATGAGCAAAAAAGTGAGGAATTTGCACACAAACCAGACATTTTCCGTCTCTCTTCTATTTGCTGATCATTTGTAAGTCAATTTGATGGAAAAATTGATTTGTGGCAATGTTTGACAAGATTTTATATCAATATTAGCTGAGAGGCAATAAATTATCATCGCACAATCCGGAATTTGAATTAAATTCAGCGAGATGTGCGTCATCTAGTGACAAATCTGTGTACTAACATTGAGAGTTTCATCTTAAAATCATCGTTTTTCTCACCTCAAATGATTGAGATTGCGCTCCAGCGTTCGATGCTGATCCTCCGAAGCCTCCAAAACCGCCGCCCTCGTTGAAGGATTGACTCTGAGCGCCAGCATTGGCGGCTGAGCCGCCAAATCCACCAAAACCGCCCTGAAAAGAGCCACCAAGGCTTCACTAAAGCGCGCAACGCGCGAATTGCCGCTGAACAAACCTGCTCGAACGATTGACTCTGCGCTCCGGCGCTCGAGGACGAGCCCCCGAAGTGCCCTGGGAAGCCCGGGAAGCCTTGGTTGAAGCTCTGCGACTCTGCATTGGCCTGCGAAGCACTCCCGCCAAAGCTGCCGAAGCCGAAGGGAAACTGAGCCGCTCTCGCGTCTCTCCTGACCTCCGGAACTTCCAGCAGAACTGCCGGCAGAAAGCACACAGATTAGACACGGGCGTGAGGCACAGAGCACAGCAACTCACGATACGTCGCCGCGTGAGCGAGCGACAGCACGGCGCAGAGCACGATCACGAACTTCATGGCGACTTTGCGGTGCGCGATCGCCGCGCGGCGGTCTTTATATCAACTCACCGCGCGTCTATCTCGTCACCTGTTGTTGGTTTATGGAAATCCGGGGGTATTTTCACCTCAACGCCGAAGCCTTGCCTTCTGGCCAGCGCCAGAACATTGCGCAACGCACCGACAACCCAATGAAAACCATCGTCACTGCCCAAAGAGAGAGATCAAGGCTAGCCAATGTCAGACAACATCTTCACGGACTCCAATTTATTCCGGCGAATCTTCACGTGTCGCCCGCCAAACTTCACATTTCGTAACATCAAAGAAAACCAGTGCGTCGATCGCCTCACATGTCGAGCATCCTATTGAGCTGCTTGATCTCCATGACCTGATTGTTGATCTCGCTCTTCCTGGAAGTGCACAAAAGGCAGATTTGCATTAAAAAATCAATCGGCAGCAAGTGAAGTGGAGAGACTTGCATAAGATGTGCATTTTGTCGCTTTCAAAAGACATCAGAGGGAATTAAGAGAGTGAAAAGTAGGTTAAAAAGCCAAAATCGCATCGATAGTAATGAAATTAACTGTGTTATTGAATGAAACTTGATAGTTTTTGAATCAAAAGCAACTCAATTTGGCTCAACTCGGTTGACAACATTTAACAGAAGTCTTAACTAAATACTAATTGAATTAAATAATCAATTTAAGTGTGTGATTTCTCACTTTCATCATTCTTATGTATAAGAAATTGCTAAATTTCTCGATGTGATTCGAAATTAGCTCAAAAAAGCACAAATATGAAGACAATTTTAAGCAATTTCAGCGCTTCTTGCGAAAATAAATCAAACTTTTGCTAAAAAGCGACTAAAATGAGTATTTCTCCTCATTCCTATAGAATTATGGCGCAATTCTAAGTGGAAAAAATGATAGAAAAACAGCAATCTTTAAGAATTTGTGGCTACTCACATGTCGCCGAGGATCTTCTTGAGCACTTCCTCCCTCTTGGGCGGCAGCGTGAGCTTCTTCTCGTCGTTCTGCTTCTCCCACACTTCGATCTGCTGCTGATTCTTGTTCATCTTCCCCTTGGCCGCCTCCAGTTGCTTCGCCAGCTGCTTCGTAGCCACGCTGATCTGCTCCACCTGCTGCGCGAACTCCTTCTCGTCCGCCAGCGTCGACGGCGCCAGCAGCGTCACGAGCCTGGCCACCTCCTGCGCCCTCCTGAACAGACTCTGCTGGCGCTCGTACATGTCCTCATACTTCCCAGCCAGATTCTCCGCGTTGTCGCGGATGCGCTTCTTCTCCATGCGCAGCTCCTGGATCTCCTCCAGCTGCTGCCGGTGCAGCACTTGCAGGATCTCCACGCGCTTCTTCAGCTCCTGGCGGCACTTCTCGTGGCGCGGGAAGTACTGCTCGCGCAGCGTCTGCGTGGCGTGCATCAGCAGCTCCAGCAGCTCCTGCGGCGTCGGCTCGGCACTCTTGTTCAGCTTCAGCAGCGGCTGCGACAGTCCCGCCTTCAAGATCGCCACAATTCTGCTCTCAATGGAATCCGCAAAGTACTTCTTCTGCGGCGACACCGCGTCGCCACTCTGAGCGCTTCTCTGCTTCGTCTCGCGACTCAAGTCAATCAGCACGTTCGGATCTGTGATGAGATTCAGCGACACCACTTGGCCACTGCCCAGCAGCACCGCCAGTCCAGCCGGAGACTGGAGCAGCGTGAAGCCCAGCACGGGATTCACTTGGCTCACGTTCAGCGCCTTCGTGCAGAGAATGTACTCAGCGCGGCTCACGTTCGCCACGCACGGCTCCGCGCACTCCTCGTCCGGCGCCTCGGCAAAGTCGTGCAGCTGCTTCAGGAACTCCAGGAAGATCGCGTGCACGCCAGTGTTGTGATAGGCAAAGTAGCGCGACTCCGTGGCCAAGTCGCGACGCAGCTGAATCGGACAGAAGTGTGACTTCGACTCGGCGTTCTGCGGCAAGCCCAGCTCCAGTTCCACCGTCTCCAGCACCTGAAGACGCCACTCAGACGGACTCAGAGCGATGCTCAAGTCCACCAAGTCGAACGCATCCTGTCCCGCTTCCTCTTCGTCCACCTCGAGCAGCAGAGCGTGATGAATCCTGCCAATGGACTCCGAAATCACCACGCAAGGCGGCAGGGATGGAATGATGAGCACTGAGCAGGAACTGTGGCCGTAATTGTCGCTGTTCGGCGGCGTTATTGTCAGCGGACCCTGAAGTTTTGGCCTGAAAGAGCAAAAGCGTCTCAAGTTCAATCGAATTCACTTCTTTTCCCAAGTATTTTTCATACTTTTTAGTGTTCAATCCGGCACAGAGTGTGTAAATATTCCCATTTCCGCGCAAAATCACAATCGGCCACTCGACTTTCTGTCGCATTTGTGATGAAACCTGCAAAAGAATTCAAATGAAGAGAGAAATTATCAAATGTTCTGATAATCTTAAGCATTTTTCAAGAAGTAATTGAAATTTTTGTTAAAGAAATCACAATTATGCCTATCAAAAACCGTGAAAATGATTCATATTGTTGTTTAAAGTTGAAATAGGGATTATTTAATGCATTTTCTTGATATTTTTCCATCAGAAATCATTGATTTTTATCTTAAAAGATGAACACAATTTTTCATCACATTTTATTGCATAAAATGCAAATAAAACTGGATTTTCAGTGACTCTTTAGTTCTACTAAAAAATTATTCTGCGCTTCATAAATTGTTTTGTAATCTTAAACTCATTTTAAATCATTCAACCGCGCACTTTTGCGCGGTTGAACATGAGCTTGAATGGTGAAATATCAAATTTGAGGACATAATCTTACCAAATATGTCCAAGAATAATGTGAATAGTTCATTTTTTACAAATTGTTAGAAGAAAAAGTAGACAAAGATTGTCAAAAGTTGACTTTTCTTTCTTAATATCTACAGTTCGTCCACCAACTCTTTACATTTCAGTTAATAATTTCAATAATTTTCAATGAAATCAACAGTAAAATTACAAAAAATAGATAATCGACTGAAATTCCAATTCTTCAATGCAAGAATGAATTATGAAATGTTGCATGTTTCAACTTGAGACTTTCTAAGAGATTTATTCTTAGTGAACTTCGTCATCAAGTGTACACAATAGTTGATTGATTGCTCAACATGAACTCACAGAGAGAATCGACGACTCACTGGCCGTGCCATCGCCGAGCGGCACGAGCGGCGACACTCTGGGCGGCGCAATGTCGAAATCCACGGCCGTGTCGCCGAGATCCGACAGCGAAGGCAGCGTGGATCCGTTGCTGACGCCCATCCTGGGCATCGGCCCGACGCGCCACACGTGCTTCAGGATGTCCTCGTGGTAAACCCTGAGCGAGTTGTCCGACAGCAGCACGATCAGGTGACTCCCAGTCGGCGATCCGGGATGCCACTTGACCTGCAGCACTTCCAGATGCGTATTGTTGGTGAAGAGACGATCGTCGAGGATGTGAATTCTGCGAAGGAGGCGAGAAAAAGGGGTTGAAATGCTGCGCAAGTGAAATTTACTGCTTCAGATGCCATATATCGTAATATTTGTCATACTCTCTCTCTCCCTCTTAAGAGTGAAGTTTTCCTCCTTTTCTCCCCCGCCCCTCATCGCTAAATGTGAAGATGCACTTGAGTTGTGAGAAGTTAATAATTCCTAATTAGAACCCGAGTGAAATTTCTGACAAAAATTAACTATATCAAATATTTTACACTTCATCTTTATCATGAAATTGGGCAAAAATTCTTCACCCCTTTTTGGGTGTTTTGTGTGAAAGTGTTTCTCTCTCTGTCTCAGCGCCAGGGTAGCAAAATCCACCATCGCTGAAAGCATAATTATTGTGAATTAAATGACTTTTGCCCTATACGGAGGATTTTCATTATTTTCTCCACATTTAACTACCCTCAGAATGTTTAGTCTACATATGTGGAAAATGTGAAATACATGTTTTTCATATATGAGTGTAAAACTTTTCGATTTATTTATACAAGCAGCGATGAGGGCGAGAGAAAGAGAGTGTATTTTCTGTATAGAAAACACCAATGTAGTCGAAACATTTAGCCCAAGAATAATAATTCAAGACAGTGATTAAGTCATAAAATTTATTAATCTAAAAGATTATGTGCTTAATTATGTAAGGAAATGTTGGAAAGTTATCACTTTTATGGGCGTTCTCGCTCTCATTCACTCTCATCATCAGCCTCAACCACTTCTCTCATCACTTCCACCCCGCCAAGAAACCGACTACAAACTCTCACCGATGCTCTGGCAGTGCCATTTCACCCCCTCCCTCCCGCCTGTGCCAGTGTGTGTGTGTGAGAAGTTTAATTAATGGGCTCAGGTGAGAGAAAAATTAGCCCCCAAAAATCAGACACACACACACACAGAATTGCCCATGAGATCAATTAGCAAATTCATGACTGAAGGAGAAAATGACACTGATAAAGAGAATATTCGCCAATTAAAAGTTTGCGTCATTGTGCTTTGACTTGAGAAGATATGACAGTTGAGGTGGAATTAAGAAAATGTGACTTTTCGCAACACATTAAGGTTAAGTCATCCCTCTTCTCACTCTCTCTCACTCTCACCTGTTTTCTGTGTTATTTATTTAAAATATATTCCATCTCATCAACTTTTGACTCCTTCTGTCTTACTTTTTGAAATTTTTCCACCCTGTCAAAAGGTCCGACGCTTCACCCCTTTTGCGCCAACCCCCACACCCTACCAAACACACACACAAACACACACAACAACAAACCCTCCATGCCGCATTTTGACGACAATTTATATTCCAAAATGTATAATAATATCATCATCTCTCGTCCTTCGCTGGATGTTACTCGAAACTCATTGAAATTTCCATTCTCCACCCATTCTTTCGCCCTTCACGAAAAACTGAATGTGTGCGCGATGGGAGTTGGCGAAAAGAGGTAAGAAATATACATTAAATTAATCCAAACTTGCTAACTTGGCTAATCTCGAATATTAAATATTCAAATTATGTTTTATTTTCTTCATTAACATTTATTTGATAAATATTTTGAAGCACTGTGAGTGCTCTTTCCTCCCCCACCCTCGCACTCAAAACTCCATCTGACACTCCATATCGACCACCGAAAGGATCACCCTTTCTCTCGTCATTTGCCAGGATATTTTCGAAATATTGCGCGACAAAAGGGCGCTTGAATGTGAGAAGACTCAGCCCGGCTGACAATGCGACTCTTTTGTCTTACAAGAAGGAAAAGTCAGGCCGAAAAGTGAGAAAATATAGTTGCATTCTATAAATTCGTAAAACGATTCAAAAAGATTGAAGATCAAAGTTTCCCGAACAGAACATTTCAAAGAAACAAATACAAACTGAGAAAGACGCGATAGATTCAAGTAAACGTTCCAAAACTTGAAGACTTTATAGCAAACGAGAAGAAATATCAAGAAAATAAAAAAACACAAGGAATCTTCGAAGTGAAGGGAAGATGAAGTTTTTTCCGTCTAAAGTGTGACAAAATGAAACTGAAAATTGGTGAAATTTGACACAATAAGCTTCACAAGATCTGAACAACTAGAAACAGAAGATATTAGAAAACCTGCACATTTATCTTACCAAATATGAGAATGTAAACAAGAAGCAAGACTGTCAAAACACACAACTTGACTATCTTTGTTAACTCCAGAAGTGTGTAAAGGCTGTTCAGACAGCAATCTGTATATCTTCCTGCGTGTGTTCAAGAATGTGACATTACAAATTAAGTGCTAATGCAGTGCTGGTGCATTTTGCGCTTCTCTATAGTTCTAACGAAGTCTTAATGCTACGCATGTTCACACTCGTGAGCAGTGCGAGCGAAGTGCATGGCCAGCCGGGAAGAGGTTGGCTGTTTGCAAGAGCAGTTCTTAGAAATGAGTGAATGAGTGGTTTGGCTGGTGAAATCCCTTCTTCAGCATCCACCAGCGATATTTGACGATATCTTATGAGTCGCACCACCTCATTTCATTCCACCCACTTTTTCACGCACCCCCCGCAATGGAAATACGAGAAACGTGGCTTCTGCTTAGGCGTCGACTCATCCACCCAGTCATCCAGCTGGATAATGTATTTTGTATGTTGATTTTATAGGTGAAAGGGTTTTTGGAAATGGCCAAAATTTTCACCCTCTCCCGCGGCCCCTGTCAACCCTTCCCGCCCCGCCCCCCTGGCAACAGATGACTGCGAGGCCGAAACCACGAGAAAAGACAACAGCACAGCAAATGACACCATGAGATGAGGCAATTTTGTCAAAATTCCTCTCTATGAAATAAAACGAGGTGTAGTATGATAAGTACCAGATATCATATCATGTGTCAGCCGATTATGATTATAATACAACACTTTCGCACTCTCCGGCTTGTTCGGGGCTGAGCGTGAATTTCTCATTCTCTACACACCTTTTCAACTTGGTCCCATTAAAAATCTCACCCTCCCACTCCCCATTTATTCATTCCGCGTGTATAAATTGATATTCTTTACACATTTCGCCACCCACACAGCGCCGTCATCTTTTTGGCCCCGCGGTGAAAAAGGGCCCCCGCGAGCGGAGGCAGGAAGATTGTGATACACGTGTGTTTCTCACGTGAAATATAATTAGGAATTCTAATCAGGCGATTTAAAATAATTCGCTAATTTAAAGTTTAGCATCCAACACCAACATTATACGCAATTTTATATGCATATTTATTAATATGAAAAACCACCCCTTCACGCAGTCTCACACTTTTCGCACACATTTTCTAATTACACGCCTTAAATGCCACGCTCATCTCTTACAACCGCCTTATCGTGCTGATATTGTATGTGCTCTTGATTCCAACATGTAATATTGTCTCGAGTATCTAAATGATTTGCCATCGCCAAGAAGTTGACAAAGACTTTTGCGCGTTGAATTTGGCAAAAGCCACACGCGAATGTGCGAATAAAATTCAATCAATCATATTCACTTGCTGATGAAGATGATTTATTATTCATGTTAGATACTCAAGCGGAGGAAATAAATGTGTTTGAGAGGCTGTCTTGCATAAATTAAAAAGTAATTAAAAGCAATCAGAAACAGTAGAATTCCCTCGCGCGCGCCTCAAAGAGAGAGAGATATTTTCACCAATTGGAAAACCCTCGCTCAAAGTCTCAAGTTCTTCTCCTCCTTTGGACTTCACTTTACACCAATTGTCTCCACCATATTCAATAAACCATCAGCCGCATAAATTGAATTTTCATCTCACAACCGCGACAGCAACAATCAAAGACATGGAGTTGCAATTAAAATTCGATGGTGGTTTTGCCAAAATTAAATATCTCTCGTCTCACTTCTCCAACCCCACAAAAGTCTGATTCCCATTGAAATTTTCGTGAGGAAATAATTCACAATTTCCATAGAGATTAATTTATTGGGCGGTGTGTGAGACAAAGAATTGAGAATTCAGTGAAATGAATCGAATTGTTATTTAAAATCACCACACAAACTCTGCGAGTGTATAAAGTTATTATTTTTCACTGGGAGAGACAAAATGCTCGTGGAGAATGCAAATCAAATTATTCCTGAATATTAATTTTCTCCACTTTGATCCACTCCTTTTTCGCCTCACCGCAGGCTTTCGGGGGTGATTTTTCCCCTTGAGGACAATGCGGCAGTGGAATTGAGGGGCGGAATTGCTTGATAAGGGATGACTGAACTTGATTGGATCACCGCTGATGGTCAGAAGTCTCATCTGCATAAACCTCAGATGAGTTTCACGTGAGAAAACAATTCCTACAATGGAAAATTCGCATCACACATTATCTTGTGCACGGGAGAAAAGACGACGGAAGAAAAGCCATCTCAAGAACATTTTATTACATTAACCCTGTGGCTATTATTACTTCAACTCACCCCATCTTCGGCAACATCTCAACTCTTCGGGTATAAACAGCAAATTAAATCGGATTTGCTGATGAAAGATGAACTTTATGAGTTATAGATTAATCGCATTGTCTCAGATCGTTGAGCTCTAAATGTGATTTGCATCAATTTCTGCAATGAATATTCATCCTTTGGCCAACATTTTGAAAGCAATTCGACGTCTTATATATTTTCGGATAGATTTATGTATGTTTACCTATTAAAAACAATTTGAGATTTGTATTTTATGAGACAATAGCGAAAAATCTGAAAATTTTCTTGACCTGCGGGGTAAATTATGAAAAATCAACTTTTCATAAATAACGACCGTTCACTTTTTCCCAAGAAATCTTTCTTAAACTGCAGTTTTTTGCAAAAATGCTTCTTTGATAAACATCCTAATTTCATTTTGCCAGGATTTTTCTCAAATGTTCGTTCCTAAAAGACTGAAAATGAGGAAAATTTGGCATATTTTTAATTTTCTTCAATACAGAACTTTGAAAAAAATCAATGAAAAGTATTAAAAATTGATTTCTTACAACTTATTTGGATAAAATGTACTAGA